GTGTTTGTTACAACATTCTCTTTGCTACACATTTGAGAAATATAAACATCATAGTAACGCAAGATTGTGATTTAATTAATGAAACTACTTAATTACTCTTCAATCGGATACTTCAAATACTCTTGACTCAGTTCCTGATTGTTAAAAAGATAAAAAGGAAAACAATTCTTTACTAAGAAGAATAGTTTCTTTAGAACAATACTTCTATTACTAATTCTTCAAGGCTTACTATCAGTTTTTTAATCCAAGTATTGCAAAAATACGACTACATAGCCATATTAATCTGAGTTCAAAAATATTCACCCTGAAGGTTATTTTCTGAAATCTTTCTGATAACCACAAATAGCTTTCTTACATGATTGGAGGTAGTCGACTTAAAACTTTGGACCTAATTTTGGTGTTGTTTATCACACATCAGGAAATGTTAGTTGTAATCTTCAGGGAACTGTGCTGTGTGAACAACTTGATCCCATATCACCTAGTATCATAATCCGAACATCTTATGTGTTTGTTTTGATAATCTTACTTTAAAAAATAACAGATAAAGAACATTCTCTAAGAATTTCAAACATTCTGAGCATTGCATATCAGTATTTCTATCACACCATTCAATATGAAGAAAAAAAGAACCATTAATTTGAAATAAGATTATAGTTTTATCCATTCTGAATAACTCGCTCCTACATTACACTTTTTCCAGTCAATCTCTTTATGCTATATATCCTGTCACTTTTTTTCTACCGTTAAGTGCATGCCGGTTCTCGTTGATTCTTTAGTGTTTTAATAAGTCAATTGTTTTTAATCCATTTCTAAGATCACTGTCAGCCTAATCGATCCTATTTTTTCTGGATAGCTCAAATAAATCGTCTACTTATGACATGATTCTCCCATTTGAACTTAAATAGACAGAACATGGATGTTGTCAGCTATAGAAAAATAATCACAAAGTATCTTGATTCATTATATGATAAATAGTTAGCAACCAGATCGTATTTCAGATCCGTGGACATTAATATACACATTAAAAAGATGAATATACTTAGATACTATTACTACTATTATTACTACTACTACTACTATCACTACTACTACTACTACTACTACTAATACTAATAATAATAATAATAATAATAATAATAGTAATAATAATAATAAGTAATTGTGTACAGTGATAATTTTGTCAGAATAAAACTACGAATGAAAGTTAATGTTGACATTTTTTCCACAACAGTTGTTAATTCATTATTATTTGTAGAAGGAATGTTCACAAGAAGATGAATGTTTCAATGAAATAAAATTCCTGAAATTTTTTCTTCAAAAAGTTGCATAATCATAACATTGGTATTAGGAAAACATAATTAGTTCACTTAACTTCACTACACTTCAATACGTTTACAGTATAAAAGTTTGTAGTTTAGAAAAGAATAATTATGCATAGTAAAAATATTCTAGTGATAATAATCAAAGAAATATTGGAATCTTAAATTAATAAAACCTTATTTAATGGGTAATAATGGGCATTTACATATTTCCTTGTTTGTTCAATGACAATAACAACATATTTTGCATATAAATAAATTACTAGGTAGTGGTCAATGTTGCGTATATCTAGTTCTTTAATAGTGATCAAATTCTATTGAACAAGTACCTAGACACTGAGAAATAGTAACTTTTCAAACTATGAAGATGGGAGACAAGGATTCGACTCCAACACGAAGTAAAAACTCCCACATAGATGGAGGTATATCTGACTTATGAATATTAAGTAATATGATGCCTAACTTAAGGGTTTCCTACTGAATATCTCAAACCACATTATAGAAATTAATTATTTTCATTATGAATTCAGGTCAGTTAGTGGACTACTAAAAAAATATTAAATAGCTGTCTACTTTGATTCGCCCCATATCAACCAAACATAATCATGAACCTTAAGAGTTGTGTCTCCTATTGATGGCTAGTCTGAAATAAATCTTCTGAATACCAATAAGGACTGTGCTGGTTGAAGAGATTACACTTACACTATTTAAAAACAGTACAGTTCTTTTTTTTTTAAGGATATCATGGCAAGTATATAATTATTGTATGTATTAACTGCCAATATTATAGCTTTCATTTGATTAGAAGATAATCATATATTTCTCCTAGATTCATCTATACTATTTAAATTTGTGTCCAGTTAATTTGGTTATTTTTTTACTCTTTGAAGATCCAACTTCAACTAAGCAGTAAAACCTCAGAAGGTCAAATTTCTAATCATTAGAATATCACGAAAATAATTTGGTTGGCTTTTTTAGCAAGATTTTTTCTGTGGGATAGGGTTGCCGACCTCATGCCCAATCCTCCTCCTTTACCCGGGCTTTGGACCGGCAATAACTATAGAAGAGCTACAGGCGAAGTCAACCAATATCAAAGTGAGAATCTTCAATAGATTAAAACAATCCCACTGTATGGTGTTGAAACGTGGAGAACTAATACAACCATCATCAAAACACTACAAGTATTTATAAATAGTTGTCTACGCAAGATACTCAACATTCATTGGCTGGATACCATTAGCAAGAGCCTACTGTGAGAAAGGACACACAAGCTTCCAGCTGAAGATGAAATTAGGAAAAAACGTTGGATGTGGATAGAACATACATTAAGAAAATCGCCAAACTGCATCACGAGGCAAATTCTAGCTTGAAATCCTGAAGGGAAGTGGTAAAGATGAAGGTCAAAGAACACACTGAGTCAGGCGAGCGTTCATCATTCTGTTTCAAGATATCTAATAAGTTTATGTGAATATTAAAATGAGAAGAAAAACGTTTCAAAATTGAAACAGAATTCACTCCGATATTATTAAATAAGTAAATGATCTCAAGTTTCTTTGTTTGACTAAATAGTTCATCATAATTTTAGGTTACTTTACTTTGAATAACATGATAAACTTTGAAATAAATAGTGAGTGTATATTATATAACTAAAATATACGTTGCTTTAGTACTTTATTTTAACTTGATATTTTAAACAAACATGTATCCATGTAGAGACATGTATCATTAGAAAATGTAACTATAGATTTTAGAATAAGTTGAAGTCATTTAATTATTAATTAATGAATTAGAATAAATGTCACTGTTTCGTGTAAAACGTCATAGCAACGATCCTATAAACATTTTCGACTATGGTTAATTTTGGTTAAGCCCTTTTATTAACTTACTTATTTGAACAGTAACAATTCGCATATTTCTTGTACTGTACTGTTATGATCATTAGAGCACATGACACACTCGAGCTAAAATGTTGATCACTTATATATCAATCAATGATTCATCCTCCTCCTCATGTATATATGTACTCAAATCCTATTATAAGCTTTTGCATTACCTTGCTGCGTCCTTATACAATTTGACTATAAATTTACCTGTGTATTTACTCGCACACACATATTCTCCTCTCTGCTTCAGATTCGCTTGACGTGCTTATAGCTTTGTGATTTACGCTATCTTCTAATAAACTGTAGTTACCGTCTCTCATTGTTTTCTGATTTCAAACACTGTTAAGATTTCTATTATAACGGTTATCAAGATGATCACTTAACAAAACAAACCCACTACAATTTAACTTTAATAAACTTATCTCAATTAATCATTTTCAATTCTAGAAATAAATCTACTAGATAATTGAACATTAAAACAATATAATTATTGTTAATAGTAAACACTTCATTATCAATTAATGTAAGTGAGAGAGAGAGAGAGTATAAGTGAACACATGAACGTTTACTCATTAATTGAATCCTATGAAAATATGAGAATAAAGTTGAAATCATTAAGAGAACAATTGAAACAAGGAAAATATATAATTATAAACAATTAATTTTCTATAATATAAAACTAAGACTGAAACATTAATACAACCAATTGATACGTCTTGTCGATGAAAGGCTATATACGATTCCTAAGCTATTTCGGTAACCCGCAGTCTAGAACTACACAGCGACTTGAACTCCAGAGAGAAGACACAAGTATGAGAGAAAATATTTATCCCAAGGTTCATTTTTGTACAGAAAATCAAGGGTATTTATAGATGTTGGCGTCTGTTAAATCAACATCATATTTTCAGCCAATCCGTTAATGTCATATTATGCTACCGACCAATAATAGCACGCCACGCTGGAATTCTCAAACGTTCCATCGTACTCTGATTGGCTAGGATCCTTCGGCTCCTTTTGGGCCTCTGGAGGCTCCGTTGAAGTTCTCCGGAAGCCGACTCAACACCAATGTTATAGAATAGTGAGTCAATTGAAGCTAGACTACCATGTTGTGGGATCGTGGAAGCACACTACTTAGGAGTCCCATACTAGGACGAAACAGTCGTCTACTGCTTCCAAGTTTTCCATCGTGGTCTAACTTCAATCGGCTCATGATTTCAATCAGTGAAATTTCTAAAAATCTTCACAAAACCTCTACTGATCATAGAATAGTGACGAACGAGACTTTAAAAAAAAAAGAAGTTTCAACAATTTGATGAACATAGTTTTCAAAATTATGTAAATCTATAGAATATTTTAAAGTATCACTAATACACAACTTATGTAATACAAATTAATATACATAATAGAAGACAAATAAAGTAAATATGGCAACAATTTGATTAACCAATAATATCATAATGGATAGATAGATAGATATGCACATTCAATAAAACAAACTAAAAATAATTTCAATATTCTAATGATCATTGCCATATTTAATAAATTTACAATGTAAGAGAGAGTGCATCAATAATAAACTAACCCTACTAATAATTTATACATTTCTGATTGGTTGATAGATCTGATACGTGTGACCTTGAAAGGAAAAACAACCAATAGAAATCAGCACAACAAATAAACCAATCATCTTAGGAATAGAGAATTTTAAAAAAAAATCACTATCATATAAAAAGAAACAAATTGTTGTAAAGATTTAATAAATGCAAATGTTATTAGTATAAAACTTAAATTTATCATCATGCAACGTCCACCGCCAATCCCTATATTAAATCGTCATTCAATGGAATATAGATCAGGAGGAAATTTATTAAATTCTATTACACCATGTAAAGAATATTATACACATGATTCATATGGAAAATCTAAATACTGTATTGAAGTTGATTTACAAGGTTATCCAGCAGAAAGTATACGAATTACAAGACAATTACAAGATGTTACAATAAGTTTAAATCATGAAGAGATTAAACCAACTGGTGAAAAATATAAACAAGAATTTAGACGTGAAATTCAATTACCACAATCTGTTGATTTGAATACATTAAAAAGTACTATTTTAAATAAAAATACATTATTATTATATGCTGATGTAAATAAACGTGAACAGCCAATTTTAAAAAGTTCACAAATGAGTCCTAATTTAAAACGTCATATTAATTGGGGATTATCATGTTCACCACCATTACGTAATTCAATATTAGATTCACCTAGATTACGTACATCATTTTCTAGTGAAATACGACATCGTAATTCATCATTTACAAATTTATCAAATGATTTTAATAAATCATTTCATATTAAAAAACAGAATTTATCAAATTATCAAAATATACAACGACTACCAAATCATCAGTATAGAAGTCATTCTTTTACAAAATCGGAACCAATTAATATACCTGTACGTGTTGAAACGAATCAAAATCATAATCAATTCACTCCTATGAATAACGTACAAAATATTCGTGTAGAAATAACAAAAAATCAACCAATTCATTTGAAACAATCTTCTAAACAATCAACTTTAAATCATAATCAATCTCAATCACAAGTTCCACAGAATAATCATACTAATACTACTACTACTACTACCACTAATAGTAATCATAATAATTATTATTATCAAAATGAACATAAATTGCTGAATAATAATAGTACATTAAAATCTCAACGTCCATTACATATACTACCAGTTACAAATAATATCGATGAAAATGATCCTATAAACAATATATCAATACAAAATCATTATAATAATGCCATGAATCGTTTAATTAATCATACAACAGCAACAACAACAACAAACGAATACTACTAACAATAATATAAATAGTACTAATCATTTGACTAAACCTATGAAATTTTATACACAAAGTATGAAAGTTGGCTTAGATGTAAAACCGGAAGATTTAAATATTCATTTAAAAAATGGTTTATTAACAATTATGATTAAACAAAAAGGTAATAATATTGAAAATAATCAACAAACTAAAATTGCCCGTGAATTTCTACATGAAAATACTATACCAATTAATGTTGATCAAAATAAATTAACAGCAAAATTAGATAGAGGTATATTAATTTGGGAAGCACCATATATGACAACATCATCAACTATAACAACATTAACAAATGATTTAATTGATATTCCAGGATAAATGATGCTAAATATACTACTAATAATACCACTACCACTACTACTACTACTACTACTACTACTAATAATAATAATAATAGTACTAATACTATGTAAAAAAATGAACATATTTAATGAAAACAGAGATGAATAGAAGATAATGAATAGATTTACTTAAGTTTATTCTTTCTTTCTTTTTTTATGTATTTTATGCCTTTCTTTGTTTTGTTTTGTTTTGTTTTCTTGAAAGATTCATTTATTTTATGTGAAAAAGAAAACACTATCGATATTAAGATGAACATAAAATCGATTATTATTGTATATTCATTAAAGTGAATTTTTCTATTTATTAATGAACCAAAAAAAAAGAAAAAAGAGATTAGAATCACTGTTTATTCATTTATTTATTTGTTTTATTCTTGTCAAATATTTTAGTCTCATTCAGATATGTTTATAATATGTATTAATAATAATCATAATAATGGGCATGTATTAATCTATTTTTATCAATATATAAATATATATATATATATATAAGTATCATTACCAAGGAAAGCTTGACTTGATAATTTCGAATAAATTGAGCATTGGGTTGATTGTTATAAATAAAGATAATATCCCAATGAGTAGAAAAATTAAGATTTTCTGACGTTTCGTAACTTGATGTAAGCCACTTCTTCAGAGAATAAATAATCAAATCATAATTAATCCAAGTTTATTTATTATATATATCGATATTTTTGTGACTTGATATCTGTTACCAGGTTGATTATATAAATAATGATTATTAAAATATACATGTCGCCAATCCTCTTATATATATAATCATCGACTTAACTCATTTTACTAAATAACTGAATTAATTAAGTTAAATACAAGAATAGGTATGTTTCATCATATAGTCGTTGATCGGTAAATGAAGCAAAACAAAATGATGCGTATATGGTAAAGACAAGTGTGCCAACTCAATTTAATCAAGTATAGATCTATATTTATTATCAGACCAAAGAATAAATTACAGACATGTGATGAATAGGATAAGTACACATACATATGCTCATATTTAAAAAAAAACACAACATACAATGAAGATTAATAAGCAAATAATTAATAAGATTAAAATATATCTTGAAAAGTATAGAGAAATTAATTTATCCAGAAACTAGTTTAAGTTATCTAGGCTCGACATAGCAACTGAAACTATCATATCATTCTTATTCATTATTGTTCTACATTGTTAAATTTTTTTAATGATTCGTTAATCGATAAATTTAAAAAAAAATTATTATTATTATTATATCCACTTTTATACTTTCTTGTTATGACTAGTTTAAAATGGTTTAAATCAATAGATTTAAGTGAATTTATCAAAATTAATTTGTTTAGTTTCGATGCGTATATATATATGAAGAGAGAGAGAGAGGGAGAGGGAGACACAGAGACAAAGAGTATATATATATATATGGCATAACGATGAAAATGTGCTTTAATACAATAACGTGAATTTATTTTCATCATGTTAAAGTGAATAAATTAAGTTATGAATATTAATATGGTAACCATGAGAATGATATTTTAGGAGTATGATTATTATTTTTTCTCAAACAGAAAAAAATATTTCAATAGTTGAGATCATGAGTCAATTGAAGTTATACCACCATGGAAAACCTAGAAACACTGGATGGCTGTTTCGTTGTATTGTAGGACTGCTCAGCAGTGCACATCCACGATTCAGAATCCAGGACTTGTCAGTTTCGCATGCGAGCGCTTAACCACTAGACAACTGAGCTAGCCGGTATCCAACGGTGTTAATGTCGAACTTCAATTAATCCATGAAATTGCGGCACCGTCCACCAATGTCATCACTGAGTTACTATCTCATAACAGACTCAATTGAACTCCAATGGTCACTTCTGTCATATACATATTGATAATTGAATTATTTAAAGGAAATACTCTTATAATATTATTGGAAATTTTTCAGATAGAATCAACTTAGATGTTTTTTGGACTTTCAAGATTGTTTAGTAATAATAATTGACTTGATAATTTAGTTATTTTGTGAAATGTGATTTATCAACTTTAAAGCTTTAAAATAGATATGTAGAGTTAAAATTACAGTTGATTTATTACCAGTGTTATGTTTGTTTAGATCTCTTAATGTTGACTGAATTTTATTGATTAAGTTTTAATATGGTGATTAACTTAAATGAATGGAAGTTTATTGAAATATTAGATGGTTATAGGTAGCCAATAGGATGCTTTATGTTTCGTACTATTTGAAATCTGTTTGAAAATCGTACTTTCAATTTTGCTGAATCTAATGCTTCTCTTTTTAATAGTGTTGAATTTTTGTTGTTGTTGTTATTGTTGTTGGAAGGCTGTGCGTTATATTGTAGAATCATATTCATCGGTTTGTTTGAACAGAAACCTAAAACTTTTCAATCAAACATTCATTCAAGTGAAATATTGATTGTTAAATTACATATGTGATTAAACAGTTGCAAGTATAAAAGTTCCCTACCAGTCAACAACAATACATAAAAATATGATATCTGGTATTGTTATGAATCATTTGTAAACAACTTGAAATTTGCATAAATATTTTATGTTATTGGATAAACTGAAGTTTTAAGATAATCAGGTCAAAACGATAACAGTTCACGCAATGATCAACTATTTATCTTAGTTGTTTTAATATATAATATCATCATTTCTAGTCATTTTTTAACGTCAACCAAAAAGAATTTCGAATATTCAAATATTTTTTTGAGATCATGTACCAATTTAAGTTAGACTACCACTAAAAACCTGGACGCTTTGAGAGGAGATTTCCAAAGTTCTAGTGAGAAGTTGTGACGAATGGAGCTAATCTGTGTCGGATGTGAGAAAGGTAACCACCGAACACAGTGAAAGATGGTCGTGCGCTATCACAGACTCATTAAAGTTGGACACTAACACCATTAAATATCAACTCATTAGTCTGGAGGTCAAGTGTCCTCATGCGAGACCGAAGGACCTGAATTCAATTCTCTTGTGCAGGATCGTGGATGCGCACTGGTTGGGAGTCACATACCAGGAGGAGACGGGGAACCAGTGCTTCAAGGTTTCCAATGGTGTTCTGACCTAAGCCGGTTCATGATTTCAGTCAAATTCAACAATCTCCACAGCCCCATACTGAAAATTAAAATACCCTTGTGAGCTTTTACTGTTAGTGACGTTATTATCATAGGGGTTATGTAGTGGTTGTTGAGATTTTTCTAGCTTCCACCACGGACTGATCACTTCTGATCTTCACTGGGGTTTTGAAGTTTTACTGCTGAGGAGTACAGGAACGAAGCAGCCATCCAGTACTTCATGATTTTCAGTGGTTATTTAACTAAATTAGTTACTAATGTAAGCAATGAAATTCAATAAAATTCAAGAAGTATTATGTCAACTTCACTAGAATTCGACTAATAACTATCTAAATTTCTTGTCCTTTCTACTCTCACAATATTCTCTTGGTTTACAAATTCATTTACATCTCTCTTTTTCATACTGCTTATTATTTCTTATCTTCAAGCCTCACCAAACTTTACAAAATTACTGAAGTCAGTAACAATTCCGTACTCTTTCAGTGATTAGCTATTAGAGACTGTTTTCTTAACAGTATTGTTGGGAGCCTTGATTTGTTAAATCAACCCAAGTCAAAAATACGACAATTAGCTATATATGTTACAGGATGTTTATGACAACGTTATTAGAGTAAGCCCAATGAATTTAAAACGATAGACAATTGAACTCTGGCTTGTTGGATATATAAGGATATTGCGTGTTCACTGTAAATAACTGATTGTTCAATATAGCATTTAGTAGGAATACTGATGAATAGTTTTAAGCTAGAACAAAGCAAATGTTCAATATTCAATATTTTAAGGTTCTCAATGGTCCTTCAGCATTTCTGTTTATTGATAAATATTATTTTCAAACTATATAAATCGTTAAATAAAACACTTGACCAAATAACTGGTTACTTACAGTCGTCCAGTGTTAAAAGGATTTATAGCTACTGAATGTTGTGTTATTAATCTATATAACACAACAATGTTGAAAAATTTCTGCTTTTCTTATCTTACAGTAAAGCATGTCGAGCATTGATTTTCAGCTGGAATTAGGTCACTTAAAAAGTTTGTCTTGAGTTGTGTATGTATGAAGTATGCCTTAGCCAACGTCTTAACTTCGTTTGAAAATGAGTCACTCAATTCAAATAGATTTTTGCAACTACTGATGTATGTAGAAAAATCAAATTTTTGGATTTCCTGATATTTCGTGACTGAATGTAAGCTACTTCTTCAGAGAATAAATAAACAAATTGAATTAATTCAAGTTTAAATAGTACAAGGGAACAAAGCAAAAATGTTTGGTGCGATCAATAAAAAATGGGTCTAACTGAGTCAATGTCATGTCATTTCGGTTAAGGTGATTTATGTGAAGCATGTCTGTGTATTTGTATATGTATGTCCACTTGTTAAATATATTACTTATGTGTGGGCGAGAATGACTCCGCCTGTAGCTCTTCCAGAGTTACTGCCAGTCCCAAGTCCGGGTAAAGGAGGAGGGTTCGGCATGAGGTTTGCGACTCCATCCCGTAGAAAACTAACTCGCTAAGAAACGCTAACCAGAAAAAATAATCCAATCCATTTCAATTCTGTCGGTCCTGGAAGTTAGAAGGTTTTCAGTTAGAGAAACTATAACGCCTCATGGTGAAAGCTGAGTTCCTTAGGAAGCCACGAGGCCGATGCCTCTTCGAACAACAAGTCAATATTTTTTATAGGTACATGGAACGTCCGAACAATGTGGGAGACCGGGAAGACTAGTCAAATAGCAACGGAAATGAAGAGATACAACTTAGCAGTACCCATTGGACCCAGGCTGGACAACAAAGGCTAAATACAAGAGGGATGCTGCTGGCCACGAAGAGGAAAATGCTCCACACACGCAGGGAGTTGCCCTAATGCTGCCCAAAGTAGCACGAAATTC